TCAGTGTTTGCTATCAAAACTCTGGATAGATCCTCCATTGTTGACTGCACTTTTCTTGGGATTCTGAAACTTTGGAGCCAAGAAGATTGCCCCATTACTACAGATATTGCCATAGATCACAAGGCACCATCTGTTGCTTCCAGTGCTTCTTGCAAACTAACTGTCCTTCATTTATTAGGAATTTGAAGTCCGTCCTATGTTTCTATAGCAACTTATCAACAAAATCTGTGAATTTAATTATAATTAAGAAAATAGCAGGCAAGCAGGGCCTGACAATTTAACATTCTAAATTGTAAGCTTGCCGATGAATAACACCTATGACCAAACAGATCTGGTTATTTCAACTCTTCCTCAAATGGAGTAACCTCGGGTTGGGGCTGTCTAATCTTCTCGTCTGCAGCCACAAATAAAGAGCCTGTACCAGGTTTGAACAAAGATATTCTGAACAAATGGCATTTAGTATCTTTTATCTGTTCCTTTTTTTTTTTTTTTTTTTTTAATTTGAGGTGACAGTTGCTGGTGTTTGCCAAATATTTTTAGCAAGTTCCAATAAACCCTCATTAATGGGAAGAGCTACTCTTCTTGGCATTAAAGTATACAGGATGTGCAACAACTTGTGAGGGGTCTCCTGCACCTCCTCAAATGGAATAGTTCTCTGAAAACATTCGCTCCATGTGCAGTAAAAGTCAAAAAAACCTAACAGAATGTTAGGAACCATTAGGAATGAGATAGAAAATATCTAAATCCATGATATGCCCACTACTTGAATACTGAATACCGTTCTGATCGCCGCATCTCAAAAAAGATATAGTAGAATTGGAAAAAGGTGTAGAGAAGGGCAACAAAAATAATTAATGGGATGGAACAGCTTCCATATGAGGAGAGATTAAAAAGACAAATTGTTCAGCTTAGAAAAGAGACGACTAAGGGGGAAAATGGGAGATGTCTATAAAATCATACTGATATGGAGAAATTTAATAGGAAAGTGTTATTTACCCTGTAGGGAGCTGGGGTGGCCTCCCTCCGAACCAGAGCGTAAAGAACCACTCTCTCAGCCTGAGTGGGAGGAGCCAGGGCAAGCTTACTCCACCCCCGGAAGGGGAGGGTGGAACAGGAATTACAAAAGGGGGGGCCCTTAGCCCACTCAGGGCAGCACCAGGGAGGGAGACAGACCCAGACTGCTGGCTATTCCCTATAGACCCTGCTGCCGAACCAGGAGATGCCCTGGAGCAGGAGAAACCTGACCTTGAGGAAGGTCTCGGGCTACCAGAACTGCCGGCCACAGAGTACCCCGAGGAAGTGGAGGAGTCAGGCAGCAACCTGAGCCCGAAAGAGCCTGATGCTGAGGGTGAGATGGAGCTACCGAGGCTACCGGAGGTGGAATATCCCAACGAGTTGGAGGAACCTGAGGGACCCACTTGAGAAGTAGGAAGTGGCCCAGGGGTAGAACTGGACAGTGTGGTGAATCAGTATTTGATCAGTGTGTTGCGGATGGATCCCCACTGACCCAGTGGTGGGACCCTCTCCTCCCACCGCTGTCAGGGCCCTGGGATGGAACACAGTGGAGTCGGTTGGGCCTGCGTTCCCCTACCCCGGCCACCCCGCCTCAGGATGGCAGAACCCCAATAAAGAACTAAGGACTCTAGCCAGCGCTCCCTGGCCTGAGGGGTGCGCCACTGACTCTTGCCGGCGCTCCCCGGCCTGAGGGGCGCGCCACGGACTTCTGACGGCACTCCCCAGAGTACCCCGAGGAAGTGGAGGAGTCGGGCAGCAACCCGAGCCCGAATGAGCCTGATGCTGAGGGTGAGATGGAGCTCCCCGGCCTGAGGGGCTCCTCAGAGTACCATGAGGAGTGTGCCATGGTCGCTGGCCAGTACTCCTGTGTCGCGCCAACTGCGACGGCACATCTCCCTCCGCTAATTCCCCATCGACGAAGAGGTATGACCAAGGCCTTTCGGCAAGGCAGTAGCTCCCCACCACCCCCAGTGGTTTGGTGGACCAACTGAGACCTTGCTACATACCCCTTTGCATAACATACTTACCAGGAGTCAGCCAATGAAACTAACAGGAGGTTTAAAACAAACAAACAGAAGTACTACTTCATACAACATAGTCAACCTGGGGAACTCATTGCCATGAGTTGTTGTGAAGGCCAAAAGTATAACTGGGTTAAAAAAAGAATTAGGTAAGTTCATGAAGGATAGGTTCATCAATGGCTATTAGCCAAGATGGTTAGGGACAAACCCCCATACTCTGGATGTCCCTAAACCTCCAACTCCCAGAAGCTGGGAGAGACAACAGAGGATGGATCAAACGAAATTGTCATGTTCTGTTAATTCCCTCAGAAGTATCTGGCACTGTCAGAGGCAAGACTCTGGGCTAGATGGACCATTGGTCTCACCCAGTATGGCTGTTATTAATCTCAGCAACCTTTCTCAGTAAATCCTGAAAAAACTTTTATAGTCATCCAGATGAGACTGTGCTAAACAGATTACCATCTCCTTTGGACACAAAGATGAAATACCCAACTGGGGTGTAATGTCCTCATTTTGGAGCTGTTCCTCCTCCTCAAAGACTTCCTCTGCAGGCTGAGGATCCTGAGGAGATTCTGATGTTGCACTGTTATCTACTTCTGAGTAGAAGTCTCATTATAAGGTGGAGCATGAGGAGGATGCTCATGATAAGGACCCCAGGGTTCCAGTATGGCCATGCAGGAACATTAAACAGGTAGAAAGCAGGGGCACAAGAGGAAGAGTACCAGGGAATATGGCTACCCTCATAATTCCTATGGAGCTTAGGTTTATAGGAAATGCTAGACTCCCTTTCCAACCCAAGAACTCAGAAGAAAAGGCCCAAAGAGAATATGTGGGAGATCCTTCCCCATTGTGCTATGAGCCAAATGAAGAACAAGAAAATTCTACCTCTAAAGATGGGCTGCTGAGGCAAGAGTATTGGGTTGTAACACAGTAGTAGCGGCTGGTGCCAGAGAGAAGCCCATTACTGATGAAACAGTGAGAATACATACAAGGGCAATGCTAAACCCAACTGAAAATAAAGACGACTCACGTTCCTCAAGAACTTGGAGTTCCTCTGGTGCCATGTAACTCCCCTGTACTGGGGTGCCGTGAATCTCTGCTCAATCTCAATATCTCTTCATGTGAGAGTTTTTCCAGTCCCCTATTCATTCTTACTGATCATCTCTGGATTCCCTCTAATCTGGAATATCCTTTTTGAGATCAATGACCAGTACTGAATGCAGTATTCCCAGTAAGGACAAAGCATTGATTTAGATAATAGCATTAGAATATTTTCTGTATTATTCTACATGCTATTCCTTATGTATCCTATTTCATTAAATACCACAGCTGCACATAGAGCACACTTTCAACTATCATATATACAGCTCCCCCGTACCCCCATTAGGGTTAGAATAATAGAATATCAGGGTTGGAAGGGACCTTAAGAGGTCATCTAGTCCAACCCCCTGCTCAAAGCAGGACCAATCCCCGGACAGATTTTTGCCCCAGATCCCTAAATGGACCCCTCAAAGATTGACCTCACAACCCTGGGCTTAGCAGGCCAATGCTCAAACCACTGAGCTATCCCTCCCCCGCTTTCCTTTTATAAAAGCTGGTAAAAACATATTTAAAAACAAGTACTTGGTCCTGTTTGGGCTGGTTTGGTATTGTGTAAAGATGGAGTTATCTGAGGTGTGATTTTTCCAAAAGTTACCATCTCATTTGCTTTTTGGTTCTTGTCAAAACTAAGAATAAGTTATATTAAACATCAAGGAAAAAAGAGACAATGACAGTACATTTTCATTTATTAAATAGGAAGGAAAGAGTGAGTATGTTGAGAGCTCCTGAAGAAATTGACTCCTGTTCTTTTTAAAGAAACTGGAGTCACCCTCATTATTCTTCTATAATGTTTCCTATAAAAACAGGTGTGAACAGCACTGAATATCATAGGGTGGGCAGTCCCCAAAAGCAAAAAGGTTTCTATTCAGTTTATCCACAGTGGAAGGAGACTGACGCTGAGAACTGTAGAAAATTAATGCAATTTCAAATAAGTGGATTGTGAGTTATGATTTGGCAAAAGCCAAGCAGTGCTGTACAGAAAACTAACTGTTTAATTTGACCTGAAAATTCAACAGATAAACCCTTTACCTGGGATAGCCCTGCCTCATCAACCTGAGGTAGGATAATAAGAAAATGTGTGTGTTCTAGGACCCAGCACAGAACTTCTTAATTTTCTCAGAAGTTTTCCATTCCTATTTGAATTCATCTTTGTCCTTGCCTTTAGTTTGCTTATTCTCTCTCCCTCGCCAGTGGCTACCACCTCCCTCATGGATCCAAACATATCTCAAGGGAAAGAACTCCTCTTTCTCTGATTTGGGTCTTAGATTTCAGAGTGAGAGGGTTTGGACAGGGTCTCAAGCCTCAGAGCTCTCCATCCTCTGAGATATAAATGAGGAGTAAATGAAGGGATTCATTCTCAATAGGCAAAGAATGTGGTGCAAAAGTGGAAGGGACGTGGCCAAACCCGAGAGCCTTGTGGACAACTCTGAACTATCTCCAGTATTTGCAAGAAGAGACATGCACTCTAAACACCTTGGATTAAGGGAAGGGGAAGAAGCCAGAAAAAGCAAATTGTTAAAACCTTTCAGGCATTCTTCATTACTTCATAAAGAAGATAAAAGGCACAATTCCAAAAATTTTCTAAATGAAAAGTTAACTTGATTAACTTAACAACAAAACTCAATAAAGCAACTTTTAATGGCCAAAACTATGTAAACAAAACTGTTGCATGTATAATACTTGCTATGCTTGCCTACACAATTATAGCACAATGTTTCTAATATACTATTATAAAGCACATAAGGATAACTAAAATGTAAATAATACTCTATAAAGCTAAATACTACCTTCAGTTTACCAGCATAAAATATTACACAGAATATACAAATGTGAGAAAGTATCAGGAAGATTTTGATACTTTACCTGAATAAGATGAATTAGAGTGGTTAGAATGGCACATCTCAGCATATTGTGCTCCTCACTTTGTTTCCAAAGCAGGGGTAAATACTGAACCAAGCATCCTACATATGGCCGTATCTACAGTCAAGAAATCAAAATGACAATATTTAACAGAGTAAAATATTTTATTTAACCATGAAACTATACAAAAGCTATTAAATCTCCAAAAATTTCACACATTATCTTTGAGCCAAAATTGCACAAGCTATGTTCAGTTGGTTTTGTCACAATATTAAATATATTTTTGTTTTGAACATGCTCCTTTTTTTCATTAACAAAAATACCTAACATTTCTTACCAAGAGATTTAAATGGTCCATGACTATGTAACGGTTACACAGAACATGTTATTCATAGCAGACATTATGAAAATGTGAGTAAAAGCTTAGTCATGTATGAAAAGAAAAAACGGATGATATTTTTATATTGAAATGGTTTCGTCTAAAGTATGGATTAGAACAGCCTATATAATTGAATTGTGTGGGAAGAAAGAGTCCAAGAAAACTCAAGTTCAGTAAAAGGAAAGGAGAGGTTACTCATCTTGTGCAGTACTGGACTTCAAGATGTGTCCACCTGTAGGTGCTCCACTTCAGGTGTGCATGTGTTCTGTGCCTTTGACTGAAGATTTTTGGTAACAGTGCCCACTCAACCTGCGCATGCACCCTACATATATGCTCATGCCACATACTGAGGCTATATAAGGCTGTGTGTACGAACCCTCAGTTCCTTCTCTACTCCAAAGTCCCACAGAGGAAACTTCAGAAGCAGAGGAGGAGGAGAGCAGGTAGCGGAGCAACCACAGGGACACACATCTCAAAGAATTCCAGTTACTGTACAAGGTGAGTAACCTCTCCTTCTTTGAGTAGTATCCCTCTGGGTACTCCACTTCAGGCGACTCCTTAGCAGTAACCCCCTTAAGTGAGCAGGAGTTTCGGAACAGAGTCCAGCACTGAAGAGAGAACTATGTTGCCTACAGCAGCATCCAATCTAGCAGTGTGAACTACAGCATAATGGCTGGAAAAAGTATGCACCAAAGTACATGATGCAGCTTTGAAGTTTTCAGCAACTGAAACGTCCTTGAGGAGGGCTACAGACATAGATTCTGATCTAGTAGAATGTGCAGTCACTCAGAGGGGAGATGGCATATGAGCCAAATTATAACAGGTAATAATACATCCAAAGATCAATCAAAGTCTCTGCATGGAGACAGTGAATCCACTAGACCTAGTCACAATAGAAACAGAAAGTCTAGGGGATTTCCTGAATGATCTGGTTCTGTCCAAGTAAAAGGCCGATGCCCTCTTAACACCCAGTGCATGGAATGTAGCTTCCTGCATAGACTGATGTGGCTTAGGAAAGAAAACTGAAAGGTGAATAGTATGGTTAATATGAAACACAGAAGAAACCTTAGGTAAAAGTTTTGGATGGGGTTGTAAAGATGCCGTTTTTCTTGAAGAACACAGTAAATGGAGGGTCTGTCATTAGAGTCCCAATCTCCCCAACCCTTGATGCAGAAGTGATGGCCACCAAAAAGGCTGCCTTCAGACAACTGTAACAGAGAGCACATAGCTAGTGGCTCAAGAGGCTGTTTCATGAGATGGTTAAGAACAAGGTGAGATCCCAAAGCAGATTAGCATCTCTAATCTGTAGAAAAAGGTTCATAAAATCTTTCAGGAATCTCACTATAGTCAGCTGTGTGAAAACTGACAAACCTTCTGGCAAGTGGAAAGCTGTTATTGATGCTGAGTGAACCTTGATGGATTACCTATTGGAATTGAACCTAAGACTGGAAAGAGATGGTTGGACAGGCAAAAGATGACGGCAGTTACACCAAAGACAACATGTCTCTATTTCTGAAGGTAAGTGTGTCTTATTGTTTCCCTCCTGCTATTTAATGGCACATGTTGTACTCCCAATGAACAGGATGCTTCTATCTAGTCCCAAAAAACATTGAGGAGCCATGTTTGGAGTTACAGAACATTCAGATTGGGGTAATGTGTTCAACCCGCATTCTGAGACAACAGTTGAGAACTGATCAAAAGCTGCCATGCATGGTGAGCAGTGAGTCTGATGAGATAAGAAAACCAAAATTGTCTTGGATGAGTTGGTGCAGTCAAAATGACCCTGGCTCAGTCCTTCTCAATCTTGTTGAGACCCTTTAAGAGCACTGGAGTTGGTGGATATGCATAAAAAGACACTTTCCCCATGTAAAGAGAAAGCTGTTTCCTAGAGTCTGGAGATCGGGTCCTCCTCTGGAACAGAATTTTCTGCATTTTGTGTTGGTTGCAGTGGCAAAAAGATTGACCTCTGGAAACCCCCAAGATAGGATTATTTTGTTTGAGGACTTGAGACTCCAACTCCCAGTTGTAATTTAGGGGAAAATGTCTTCGGAGGTTGTCTGCCATGGAATTTTGTATACCCAGGAAGTAAGAAGCCAAAATGACTGACTATCTGGTTGGCCAGCCACCAATTCCAGAGCTTTATTACTTCAGTGCAGAGAGAGGAGGAATGTGCTCCTCCCTGATGATTGATATAATATATACAAGCTGTGCTGTCCATTATGATCTTGATTGACTTGGTTTTGATTAAGGGTAAAAATAGGAGGCAGGCATTTCTGACCATCCTTAACTCCAGAAGAGTGATGTGCAAGCATTGTTTTTGTTGTGACCATTTGCCTTGGGCTGTGTGAGGACCTAAATGTGCTCCCCATTCCAGGAGGGAAGTGTCTAATGTTATCATGACCATAGAAGGAGTCTGTCTGAATGAGATTCCTGCACAAACTTTGGGAAGGATCATTCCATCAGGTGAGTGACTGTAGGACAGAGTGTGTTGTAGACCATGGTCTTGACGCTGCTTTCATCTTGGAAACTCAATATAGAGTGAGCATTAACAGAAGCAGAGGGCCCCTGTACATGGGGGTTTTCTGTATCAGGGTCCAAAGCTGGTCTTAAGGCTTGCTCCATCACCAATAGTCTATACTTAATTTCCTTGTTTTTACGGTATCTTCCCTTAAAAGAAGTGCAAATCTTGCACTTGCTGAGAATATGCAACTCTCCCAAGCAATGTATACACTGAGAATTCCCATCAATGATGGGAATGCTTCTCAACAGAAAAGGCATCTTTTAATATCTGGGGAGCCCAGCCACCACTAACACAACTGTGAAACGAATGCAACTATAATACAACATGTTGTATTTAACACCAATTCAAATAACTGAAACATGAAATTACAGTTTTATTGCACATCCTTATTGCACATTGTAAAAGTTCTTCCTTGCATGAGTTCTATGACATCATAGTAGAATAAATCAAAAGGTGTTTTAACAAACTGAACAATAAAAACTACCAGATGTGTAATTTTTAACATCTTGTGCATGTTGTATAATTATCTTTCTTTATAAATTTCCAGATTTCCAATTCATTTTGTTAGCTACCTATATAGAATATCATAAATTAACCACTTCAGCATATTAGTTTTTAATGCTGAAAGGATAACTTCCTATAAAGCAATCATTTCACATAACTTGTTTTTTCTTTACCATGGTATGTTCAACACAAAGTATGGACAAAAACTTTGTAAATTTTGCCTGATTTATTACATATTTTGTATGCTTCTTGTCTCTATCTTAATAATCTCATACAGAATTAAATTTAAAGCTAGGATACACTAAATCATCAGCTTAATTAAGCATAGTATACTATTTCAGCCAGAAATGACAAGAAAAATATTGCCTGCCAGCAATTTCCAGTTCATGGACCCAGGCATCAATCAACACAGCTGGCTAGTGTAAATTGGGAGAGATTAAGGACTGTGCTAGGTGGTTGCATTTCCCCAAAACTAATTCCAGTGATGAAGGAGTCCAAGTGAGAGGAACTATATGTGCCTCAAACACTCACGTAATCCAGAGCAGCATCAGTATTAGAGCCAAAGTAAATCTCAGGTGAACGTCATCTCTTATCCAGACACTCTCACAATGTACATACCTTTATTATCTGCATTACAGCAGCACCCAGAATGTGCTAAGTGCTTTCCACATGTAGAGTAAGATGCAAACCTCACCTTGAAGAGTTCATAATTCAAGATGATGAGCAATGCACACAAAAGTGTGCCAGAGATATAAAACAATTACTTTAAAACTATTTTAAATTAAGTATCATTTATCCTCAACCTCCCCCATCTAGCCACTATCAGCCTTACTACTCCTATCACTATATCAAGACCTCCATCAATGGGTAAAGGAAAAACAGGAATCAACAGTGCTCCTTCCATGAAGAGAAAAGGAGGAGCCACTAGGACAAACTATTGTGGAGGGAGAAGAAACAATTATGAAAGGAGTGAGGATCCACTAGCAGGCTCTCTGTTCATACAGGGGATAAACAGAAAATTTACATTTGTCTCAGAGATTCACAAAGAAAGCTGCTGCTTCGAGGACCACTTACAGGTCAGAGGAACTGCTACCACCTCTACCTTGCCTTACCTTTCTCTACCCCACTTGAGGCGAGTACCCTAAAAAAGTTGACTGCAGACAACAATCAAATTTTATTTCCTCAGGAACATCTTGAATGTCCTAAATTTAAACTGAAAATATACTTCCATACTAAGGAAAGGAAGTAGTAAAAAGTGAGGTCAACAATTTTAACCTTATAACCTTGTAGTTGATGGTGACTTTAAAACAATGCAGGAAACTGAGCTCCATGACCTTGAACTGCTATAAACTAAACTGCCTAGACACTACAGTAATGGGCACCTCAAAAAACGTATCTTGTAATTATCAGAGGGGTAGCCATGTTAGTCTGGATCTGTAAAAAGCAACAAAGAGTCCTGTGGCACCTTAAAGACTAACAGATGTATTGTAGCATAAGCTTTCTTAAGGTGCCACAGAACTCTTTGTTACATCTTGTAATTAGTTACAACAAAAAATATTAAAAATCAGAAGCGAGAGAAGCTGATTAGAGCTGAAAGTCTAAGACAAAAAAGGGAATTATAAAAATTAAATTACATTTTGCACATGTAGGAAACAGCAAAAAAATACAGAAAGTTGAGTGGGAGGAGACCAGGCAGAGCAAGTATTTTGGGCAAAAAAATATGAACAGGGGAAGTAGAAGCAGAGCTCTGTAGATTACTGAAATAAAATAAACACTGCAGGGTAATTACTTCCATTATTTTGATATAATGTAATAGCAATAAATAGAAAAAAAATCTTCTTTGCTCTCATCAATGGACAAGTATACTAGGCTTCAAATTTAATATTATAGTCTGTAACAGTTACCTGTATATTGACTCTTTCAATCACACAAGAAAGAACATGAAGAACATGCATCTTTGTGTCACATTCTGTGACTTCTTGAAGTAGCTGAAAGAGTAGAGTGAACATGGATTCCAGATACTACAATAAAAAGAAATTAGTAAACTATAGATTAGTTAGATTATCAAGAATACAAATAGAAATCTAAAACAGCAATTTTCTTATCTGCCTACAGCACTGGGCTGAAATTTCTCATGAACTTTTAGTGTGTTGGAAGTTCTGCAACATGTTGGTCTTGCATTTCGAAAAATAGTCTAATAATTTTGACCACTCATAATCCAAAACTGAATTTTACAAAGTTTCAGTACCTAACATGTACTAGCCTTGCATAAGAATTCAAGCATGGGACCAGTTTCAATAAGCTTTGATCTCAGGTTTAAATGTATTAAAATTACTTCAAAGTTTAAATTCCTAAAAGTTGGAAGCTATCAGCACCTCTGGAGAGAATGATATTCAGAGGCCACTCTAGCTATAAGAAAACGAGGCAACTGCTAGGGCAGCAGGGGCCAAACCTGAGCAGCGCTGTAACCCTGTGCACCAGATCATAACGCCACTCTCAGATTTGGCCTGGCTGCCCCTCTGTCACGACAAAGGGGCAGCTGGGCCAAACCTTAGTGAGTGGTGCTGCAAGTCCCCCTCTCCGGTTATGCTACCATAACCACCAAAAGACCAGAAGGCTCACTACAATCCCGCCTCCCAGAAAGTCCTACGTGTGCTCTCCCCCCCCAATTTAGAGCATCTATTCTAGTGGGTGGCAGGGATGGGTGGCACACAGAAGTTTTGCATAGGGCAGCAAATTCTCTTAAGCAGTCTCTGATAATTTGCTAGAGGTCTGGAAAAATTGTAAACTTTGACAAAAATTTTGTTTCCTAAAGTTATTAATAATGACATTTTTAATACTTATCACAACAATTTCAAACAGCTAAAGCAAAAATACCAAATGCATAATGCATGTGGACACAAGTGCTCAACAGTATAAATTACAAGATGATACTTTTTATAGTTCATCAAATATATCACAGCAAAATAACCTTAACTGAAACAGACCACAATCTATTGTACGGTGAGTACCATCTCATTATTTACTTACTGCCAACACTGTGCTCACAAAGATAAACATTGGGGAAATTCTGCTACATTCCTAATACATTGCATTACACCTAACAACCACAACTAATATTTCTGGCAAAGGGTAGTTTAGGAAGCAGTGTGTGCAGAAAGGAGCTCGGAGGGGAAATCGGGTATATGTGGAAGAGGTAGTTTAGTAAAGACTGGCACCCATACTGGGAATAATGTTTAGTCTGTGTTGTGTGGTAGCTGTGGTAATGACAAGGTGTGTGTCTGTGGGTGGAAGAGTGGAGAATATATGTATTGTCAGGAGGCTTTACCTTGCTTCTGTGTCAGGTAAGATGTGTGTGTGGCAACCTTAACTGTTGCACAATAAAGTCTCTGTGCAACAACAGAATAGTTTTTTTCTTGTTATTGAAGTTAAATAAATACAGCAACTATTGAACAGTTTCTTTTGAAATGGAACTGGAATTGTTTCTTTCCCTCCCTTCCTCTACCCACAAAAGCACTCACTCACACTCACATAAATGCCCTTACCGGTAAAAACTGGTCAGTTCTAAACTCAAAGTCATCTACAGGTGAACAAAAGTTAAAGAAAAACTGAAGATTGAAAAATATTATTACAATATCTTTGACTCAATCTGATATTCAACTGTTAGCGAGGCGACACAATTACTATTAAAATGTGAATTATTAATGATCAAAAATCATTAATTTCCAGTAACTTTGAAGAAATAATAAAATAGAAAATTGTAGTTAATAAAAAGGATATTTAACTTCAGTGTTGTAGCTGTCTCAATGCGGACCTGAAAGACAAAAATCAGGAAATATCATGCTATTACCCTTATTAAATATTACTTTGATTATCTCACAGAAGTTAGTGTAATGTTTTCAGATCTGAAATTGTTAAGCTTTCACATATACTTTACATGTTTCCAGGGATAAAATTAAATTAATTTAACACTGGCATATTTCTATATTTTCCTAGGGTTTTTAGCTTTATATTGTTTATAAGGAGCTGTTTTTGCATAAATTAGAATTTATGCAAAACAGTCAGTTAAGTCTAATAAAGACTGCAGAAGTGGGCCATATGGCTGTGATGAGAATTCTTGAGACAGAGGGCATCACCTGTTTCTGGGACGGTTCTCATGAGCTACCACCAACAAATCAACTACAGGCCCACGAACACCCTATTTCCAAGAATTCAGACAATTATGAGAAGTAGCAATCAAGGAAGCATTAACTGCAACCAAGGCCACAACCAGTGACACTTAGCCCTGCCCCATCTAGATGGTAAGAGAGAACACTGGGACCCCTTCTAACAGAGAAAATTTAAGGATTCTATTTTCTCACCTTAAACCATGCAGTAGGCCACCGAGCACTACAAAAATCACTGCTCGATGCTACAGACTTCAACCTAATAACCAGTATCTAACTAACGAAGGCTATTTTTTTTTTTTGGCTAGCTTCCAAAATGCCAACTGTCAGCTACTGGTATCCTGCTCTGTTCCTGATCACAGACACGGAAAGAAAACACATATTTATTCCGTGGGACCTCGCTGCAGCATATGGTATCGTTGATCACCAAACAAACCTGTCCCATCCACAGGAAGCTTCAGAGGTGAACAGAAATGTCCTGATATGGCTCAAGACCTTCCACTCAGACTAAATCTAGATAGCTATTATTGGCATCTGTTCTTCCACCTCAAAAACAGTAATGTAGAATCTCCTATGATTTATTCCTCTCCCCCATATTACTCAAGAGCTATATGAAGGCATTAGGAGAGCTGATAAAACAATATAAACAGAACGGCCTGCATCATAGAGATGACACCTAATTCAACATCTTTTACATTAAACAAACAGCACCATTTCTCAGAAAGTGCTTGGGGGCCCTTTGGGACTCAGTGCTACTGAATGCCGAAAGAACCATGGAAAGTAGGATTTAGTAGGCATCCTTCAATCTCGAGAGACCATGGGTATGCACCCCAGAGAGGTAAAGAATTTACTCAGTTGGTTTTATGGCAGCCGCAAATGTAACTGAAGAGACCCACTCGAGAGAGAGAATCTCTGCTGCATCTGTCACATTTAAAGGTGATGTTTCGATCCTTTGGGGTCTGTCTTCTGCGAACTCTTCTCCTCTGCTAAGCTGGACTGCTTCCTCTCATAACTCCGGAGACCTTTGTTGAGTTCTTGGTTCCAAAGGCTGCGGTCCTGAGTGTGATCTTTCCATTTGTCTACATCCATGTCCATTTCTTTGAGGTCTCACTTGCACACATCCTTGAAACACAATTTGGGGCATCCTTTGGGTCTTTTTCCAGATGCCAATTTGCCGTGGAGGATGTCCTTTGGGATGTATCCATCATTCATTCGGCACACATGCCCAAGCCAGCGGAAGCGTCTCTGTTTGAGGAGTGTTTGCATGCTGGGTAAGCTGGCCTGTTTGAGCACCTCAGTGCTGGTGACTGTGAAAGCTGTTGAGCCTCTTTTCCTAATGAGAGTATAGGATCCATGTCTTGCTCCCATACAAAAGTGTGCTGATAACACATGCACGATACACACAGATCTTTGTGTGTTCTGTCAGTTTGTTGTTTAGCCATACCCTCTCGTTCAGTTTAGACGTTATTGTGGTGGCTTTTCGAATGCGGATGTTGAGTTCTGTTTCAAGTGAAAGGCTGACTGCGATAGTGGAGCCCAGGTATGTGAACTTGTTCACCACTTTAAGTTCATACTTGTTGATCTTAACGGAGGGTCCTTCCTCAACTCCTTGGCACATTATGTTAATCTTTTTTAGGCTTATAGTTAGCCCGAAGTCTTGTTGGCTTTGGAAAAACTGTCCATTAGGCTTTGAAGATGAGCTTCTGTGTGGGAGCAAAGATAAGGTGATGGATAAGGGCCTCCCGATTCTTGGTTTTAGATCTGAGTCTTGCAAGACTGAAAGCTTTCCATCAGATCTTGTATATAAGTAGATTCCTTCAGTTGAGGAACCAAAAACTTGTTTCAGTAGCAGGGAGAAGAAGATCCTAAACAGAGTTGGGGCAAGTACACAACCTTGCTTAACTCCACTACAAATCTGGAAAGCCTCAGACACTGAGCCATCATATTGGACTGTGTCGTATATGTTTTCATGAAAGGATCGAATCATGCTTAAGAGCTTGAGGGCACATCCAATCTTTTCTAAAAGCATGATAGTCCACTTCTGTCAAAGTCAAAAGCCTTTGTGAGATTGATGAAGGCTATGTAGAGGGGCCTTTTTTGTTCTCTGCATTTCTCTTGTAGTTGTCTCAAGAGAAGATCATGTTGATAGTAGACCTTTCAGCTCTGAAGCCGCACTGTCATTCAGGATAGATTCTGTATGAAAGGGTCTGAAGTCTGTTCAGGACAACTCAGGCAAAGGCTTTTCCCAAAATACTAAGAAGGGAAATAGTTGTTACAGTCGCTCCTGTCACACTTATTTACTGCAACTCATATCTGGAATGAAGCCACACATCTTTAAGAATGCCAAATAGTGTAAAATGCTCCAGCCATCTGCTTAGCTTAAATTGAAGCAAGGGAGATTTAGGTTAGACAAGGATTCCAAGAAATGGAACCTCTTTAGCCAAAAGGCCTATTAATAGGCATGCGACAATTCAGCATTGCAAACTGCCAAACCCTGTTCTCAAAGTACAGTTTTTTAATGTGGGAAAGGGTGACACCCTTCCTGTATTGGCTCCCGCTGGAATGCAGGGAGGAACTGAGAGACACCCTCAAGGAAGGGCAGGTGCTAGCCAAAACAGCAGTAGTCTATCACTGGATTGCCCCATTGGTAGAATATTGACTTGGTGATCGATTTCAGCAGTGACCACTTGTGTCTACTGAGAAAGTCCACCAAGTTGTTGCTAGTGCCTCGGAAGTTCAAGATTACTGTTACGCCCTGGAGAAAACACTAGCTTCATAGCTTGAATGCGTCCTTGCAAAGGGGGGGAAGAACAGGCACCGCCTTGTTTATGTAGTACATCAACCGATTTATTGTCTAACAATATCTGCACTAATGAGTGCTATAGGACCAGGAGGAATACATATGACCTAATAGTGTGAGGTAAATACACACTGTCATAGCCAGGTGTGATAGCATGGTTTCATTAACGACTGAAGTGAGAGGAATCTTCCATATGGTAAGTATGGGTTTGCTATCATGGAATCTATCCTGACCTCTATGAACTCCATTGTCTGTGATAGAAAAAGACAATTTCTCATAGTTCACCAGGAGGCCCCACCATGTGAAGAGAGAGGACATAGTTGAGGGTTATCTAGAGTTTCCCAATGTGTTCTGCCTTTGATCAGTCTGTCTATATACTGGCAGATGTGGATATTTCCTTAGGTATGCCAGCACTACCATGGCAAGGCATTTTGTAAAGATACTCAGTACCTGCAGAATTCAAAGAGCAGTGCCATGTGCTGGTAATGATTGGCCTCACAGTAAATCTCAGGTGATTTCTATGGGCCAGGTGGATGCCAATGTGACAATACACATCCTACATTTCAAGAGATTCAAATAAATCCTCAGCCTGAAGTGATCAGATAACGGAAGCAAGTGTGAATCTGAGTTGAGGTACATATTTGTTCAGTCTTCATGTCTAGGATAGGACACAGATCCCCTTTCTTCTTTGGAATAAGAAAATATTGACTTTCCCCCCTTGTACACTTGAGAAACTTCTTCTACTGCTCCTAGTTGAAGAAACAAGGCTACCTTTTTTTGTAATAGGTTGTCATAAGAAGGATCCCCGAAGAGGGATGGGGAAAGAGGCAGGCAGGGGGCAAGGAAAAGAATTGGATGGAGTTGCCATAGACAATGGTGTCCAACACCCATTTGTTGACCAAAATCTTCAATCACACCAGATGGAAATGAGTAAGGTTTCTGAAGGTCAGCTCTGAGATAGTTGTGGCATGGCTCTTGACCATCTCATCAAACCTGCTGCCCTTGGGAGGGAGGCTGGTGCATGATGGAGGATGATCAGGATAACAGGCATCTCGTAGAGAAGCATGGTCTCTTTCTGAGTGGCTATTCCAGTAAACCACCATGGGAATAAGATGGTGGTCTCAGTCTTTGAGGTGGCTGGTACCGGAAGGGTTTATGGTATGGCGTGAGAGTGTAAATTCCCAGGGATCTAAGGGTTGCCTCGAATTAGTAAGGGAATGGCGTGCCCTCAAAGGGTAGAACCTCAATTGTCAGCTGGACCGCTTTTGGAATTCCAGACACCTGTTACAAGGAAGCCCAGATCATTTTGACTGCTGTAGTCATGTACTGAATGGCCGCATCGGACATGTCCATTACTGCCACTACTGCTGTTTTGGCTCACACTGCCCTTCCTTGAGGGTGTCTCTCAGTTCCTCCCTGCATTTCAGCGGGAGCTAAGAGAGGAAAGGTGTCATCCTTTCCCACATTAAAAAAACTGTACTTTTTGAACAGGGTCTGGCAGTTTGCAATGCTCAATTGTACGATGCTGATTAATAAGCCTTTTGGCTAAAAAGGTCCAGTTTCTTGGAATCCATGTCTTTTGGAGTCCTCTTACTGGACCTGGTCTCTTAGACTGCAGAAATGGCAAGAGACCCTGGTGTTGGATACATGTAGAACTGCTCAAAGTCCATACATGGGACTTGGTAGCACTTTTCTAATCACTTTGAAATTGGGGAAGAGAGGCCAGGGCATGGCATAGCCCCTTCCCTAGGTCCAATATATCCTCACTGATTGGAAAAATAAGGCTTGTGGGCACCGAGGAGCTGAGGTTATCAAACAGCTTGTGCATAATCTCTTGGATCACCATTG